GGCTGCACTTTCGATGGGGTCCCCGGAATTAATGTACTGTATGGTAACGTCTTGAAGTTCCTCTAGGATAGATTCTGTCGTCGGGAGTCTAGTGGGAGCAGGTGAGAAGCCCTCCTTATCAAGGTTTCTTTCCAACGAGTTATGAAGCTGTCTAAAGGAATCTGCCTCTTCATCGTTGCCGCAGTGGTAATTAGGGGATTTGGCCCTCCAGGTTTGTCGAGTTGCCGGTGGGCCTTGTGATTGGGAGTTTCCCTTTCCGGTTGATGTTTCGTGAGGTTTCAGGTGACTTTCTTTTCTCATTGCTTGGTGTTTCCTGAATGTCGTAGATCTTTCTCTGCGATATGGTGGGGATGTTTGGAGCGAGTGTTGAGGAGAAGTGTTTTTGGTGATTCCAGAGTTTAGCTGGTCGGGAGAAGAGTGAGGTGGAATCAGAGAGGATCTCTTCGAGAGTGAAGGCCGTGGGCCATAAAAGTTCCCATGTCTGTCCAGCCGTTCGTTGAAAGGAGTATCCTTCGCTTGGTATGGGGGTTTCGAAGATTTTGATGAGGCTTTGTGATAGTTTGGGGCCACGTTTATCTGAGTTTTAGCTCTGTTTTGTGCTCGTGCAGGGTAATCGGCAACAAGATGGGAGAGCATATGGCAGAAGGAGCAATGATTCTCGAGCCGTTCTACCACTTCTACTCCTCCCCTGAACTTGACAATAGTGTCTTTTGTGAGGGATTTCAGGGCGTCGACTTCAACTCTTATCTTTGCACAGATTTTAGTTATCTTGAAGCTCTGGAGGACTCCCGCTTCTTCTCCAATGTTCCTAACGAGTTCCTCTTTCCAATAGTGCAGGGGAAGGCCATCAAGGCGGATCCAAAAGGAAATTTGGGATGGGAAGCTGGGGGAGATGATGGGCTCCCATCTTTGGAGAATGAGCATCCATTTGTTATAATGGTATGGCCTGTTCTCAAGCACTTTGAGGAGGTCTTCTTCAAGGTCGAAGCGGAACTGAAAACAGTGGTTTCCCAGGTCAGAACCAATAGCTTTGCATTTTAGGGCCCAGCGACGTGACATGTAGGGGATTATAGACCATAGTCTTTGTTCAGTAGGATTGGTGAACCGGCCAATAAGAGTGAGAGAGTTTTCCTCAATAAGATCTGAAGTGTCTAACTCCGGGGCTCTGATTCTTTTACGTGCAGGAGAGCCTGGTTCGGAGAAGACTCCTTTTCCTTTCTCGGCGTAGGTATAGCGTCTTGTCATTTCCAGGAGATGGTAGGCACGGATTGAGGAAGGTGTTGAAGAGAGGCTGGTAATATTTGAGCAGAGGAGATTTTGCCGAAGTTCGGGTAGGATTGACGGAGGAGCAATCCGAAGATTATAGAGGGAGCGTTGCAGACTTGGAGACAAGTAAGCCTTCCATGCGTGCGGAACAGGTAGGACCCGTGAGGCAGAGGAGGAGAGGCTTACCAGGTGCGGTGATGGACCCTCCGACTAGAATCGGGGGTGAACCCGGCGGATTCCGGCCAAAGAATAGGTTTTTAGTGGTAACTTACTATATAAGGTAAAGAAGGGTTTAGACAATGGATGAAATTAGGTTAAACAGAGTAGAGGACGCCAAACAAGGAAAACCTCAGGAGAAGTGCCTGAATCCTTAGCACCGAATATTCTTTCTCAATGTATGATTATCTTTATATGTTTATGTTCATGTTAAGTGTTACTGGTCTCAATAAGTTTAGCGATCTTTGTTAAGTAGTTCCGACATTATGTTTATATTTGAAAAAAACATAATGTCGGAACTACTTAACGATCTTTCATTAAGTCACTTGGTTAAGAGTAGTAGTGAGTGTGAGAGGTGGAGTGTTCGATTATTCCCTTTTCCATTTAGTGTTTTTTTTAATATACTTTTATGTAGTAGGCCAATAATTCTTTTTATAGTCCACATAGTTTCAGGTCGGCCAATAATTCTTTTTATAGTCCACATGCCTATTACAATTTGAGTTTAATTAATAATTTTTCTTGCTAACTCTTATGGATTACCTACTACTGTATACTAATAAGTTTGATGCTTACACATGTTTTTAGAAATTTCTATGTGTTTACCCTGTAAAAATACCATTCAACAAGGACATTAAGCAGTTAGTTAGGACGGGGTCAGCTGCCCCCAATAGAAAATAAATAATTAGTGTACTTTCTTAAGGATATTAATTCTTGCCCCCATATCAAATAAAATACTTACCCCCATTAATTTTTTTCATTTGTTCAATTACTTTATTTGATCAATTGTTTCTATATAATTGAGTTTTACCCATCCAAATTTGATAACCAATTAAATTTATTTACTTTTTTTTTTCTTAAGATCACTTGTATTAATTTATAAATTTTAAATATTTAGTTAATAAATATGTACATATATCACACATAATATAAACATATATAAAAGTTAACTTATACTAACAATAACACATTTTCTTCTTTACACTTTTATGCACATCTTACAAGATTTTAACTCTAACTCTTTCAAACAATTTATAAAATTATGTTTTCTTAACTATCTTAACTCTAATATTTTAGTTTAAATTTTTTGCCCCCAATCAAAATTATTTCTGGCTCCGTTTAACCTTTCTAATTATGTAAGATTAAAAGGTAAAAAAATGAAAAACATAAAAATCACAAAAGTAAGATTCTTAACTATTTAATTTTCTTTTTATACTGATTGTAACTATACTCTTTACGATAGTATCGTTGAGTATTTTTTTCTTGGCCAAGGAAATGCAACGTTGAGTTTTTAAATGACCGTTTGTATTATTTTTTCAGATACAATATTTATTTTCCAGAATTAGCATCGTATTCGAATGCAAAACAAACGAACAACTTCATTTTTATTATTCTGCTGATCAGAAAATGGAATGTTTAGTATGGAAAACTATTATTCTTAATGCATTTTCGTACTTTTATTTTTTTCTTTTCACTATGCGACTTACTTTATGAAGTTTTGGCGATATAAAATGTACATTTTTGGAAACTAATAAAGCCACAATATATATATGTGGAACTTTCTTTAAATCTATTGATGTAATCTTCATATTTGCGTACATCAACGCACAATAATGGGTGTAAGTTCTTTAACGAAATAAGAAGTGTAAATTGAATATTTTGGAAGAAACTTAAAATAGTTTGTATCTATTTAGGGAATTTTTGTTCCTCTTGAAAACAAGTCTCCTATGAACCGAATGTCGTCGTACGTTGCTCAAAGTGGTCCCCAATGGTTGAGAGAGCTGTTTGAGAAGGAAAGACCAGTTACCGTGGTGTAATTGTTTCCTTCTTATGCTCGATTTCCTGCTTTTTGGCTTTTAGTCGTTATTGACAATTTGTTTCAAAGCTACTCTGTTTTGGTCTGTTTATCAGACCTTTTTCAGTCATTAATATAATACTATTCAGAGGAAGAAAAAAAGGTAAGTCTCCTACAAAAAAAAAGAAAGACGTGAAGGCTCGAAAAACACAGTGGAATATAATAGCTCTCTGACGCTCAAGTCAGAAAACGGTTTTAAAAAAAACCACAAAGTAGTAATTCGAAAAGATGGAAAGAAGATCGGAAAACAGAAGAGAAAACCGGGCCGAGAGATCTTAGGAAGGGGTGAGTTTGCTCGGACCTGAGTTTAGTTAACTTTTTGAGGAAAAAGAAAAAGTGTAAGAGTTTGTGGGTGGAAATACCCCACGATTTAGGAAACACCATGGAGAGGAAATATGAAGGTGGTTGGTAAACCTTGAGTCATGAGTATCTAGAAAGATAGCATGAATTCAAGGATAGCGAAAAGATTGAACCCCTTTCTCATTAATAAATATTAAGTATTTATAGAGTTTTATCTTATCCGAGTTAGTATACCGAGTCAGATCTTAGAGCATCTGTATTGGTGAACCCCATAAGGGGTTCTAATTGTATTTAATAATATTAAAATTTTGTTTCCCACAAAAATTAGAACCTCTCACAATATTATACCTACAATGGTAAACTTCTTATGGAATTCTTAATAATAAAATAATATTATTATTTTTTAATTCAAATTTTATTTATTAATTCGATTTTGGCATATTAATTATTTATATATATAATTATGAACATATAACTTTGTTTAAAAATAATTTTATTGAGACATTACATGAAAAAAAAATACAGAATATTGAAATTAAAATTACATCATAAAATGCTTAGTCTTCATCTTGAGAATTGCCAAATTGTTGCCAGATATGTTCGACTAAATCTTGTTTTAGTCGTTCATGTATTATTTTATCGCGAACTTCATTTCTTTTCTCGAGCAAATTGTTGAGATTTGTAGGTATGTTTGTAGAATATGTCCTATCGACCTCTGAAGTTCCGCTTCCTTCCCCTTGCTCGAAAGTTTTTGTGTCGAACTGAGAGTACCCATCTCTTTCGTTTTCAACAATCATATTATGTAATATTATACATGCTCTCATAATCTTGCCAATCTTCTCCTTATCCCAAAAAAGAGCACGGTTTTTGATAATTGTAAAACGTGCTTGCAACACTTCAAAAGCTCGTTCAACATCTTTTCTTACGGATTCTTGACGTTTCGCAAATGCTTTGGCCTTCTCACCTTGTGGCGATGGAATTGATTGGACAAAAGCTGCCTACTTTGGATAAATACCGTCTGTGAGGTAGTACGCCAAACGGTATTGACGTCCGTTGACCCAGTATGAAACTTTTGGTGCTCGACCTTGTAAAACATCATCGAAAACAGGTGAACGATCTAGAACATTGATATCGTTTAATGTACCTGGAGGTCCAAAAAACACGTGCCATATCCAAAGATCATATGATGCTACATCTTCTAACACAATTGTCGGTTTTCCTGAACCGCGTGTGTATTGCCCTTTCCATGCGGTAGGACAATTCTTCCACTCCCAATGCATACAATCAATGCTTCATATCATTCCTGGAAATCCGCGGTTTTCTCCAACATCAAGTAACCGTTGAAGATCATCTGGGGTGGGTCTTCTTAGATATTCTTTCCCGAATACATTGATGATCCCTTCAACAAATTTTCCAAACACCTAAGTGCAGTTGTTTCTCCAAGGCGTAGGTATTCGTCAACTGCATCAGAAGCATAACCATACGCCAAAATCCGAATTGCTGCCGTACATTTTTGTATTGCAGATAGACCGTACCTTCCAGTAGCATCTCTTTTTTTTTGGAAAAAAGAAACTTCTTCGGAAAGTCGCTCGACAATATGCATGAAAAGCGGTTTGTTCATCCTAAAACGGCGTCTGAAAATATGTGGCGGATATGTTGCATCTTCACGGAAGTAGTCGTTCCACAACTGTTGGTCGCCTATTTCACGTTGTCTTTCAATGTAGGCACGTTTCTTCTTTGCTTTTGTTGGTGCTTGATACTCCAAAGCGGCATCAACCGCGGTTTCAAACACATTCTCAATCGTTTGGTCAAATTCATCAAAAGTATCATCAAGAGAATTTTCATAAAAATTGTTGTTTGATGAGGAAGCCATGTTGATTATAAGGGAAAAGAAGAAGAGAAGATTTACTAAGAAAGATATTTTTTTAAAGAGATGGTTGTTGAAGTATGGAAAAGAAGAAGAGAATATATACTACTTTGAAGGCGTGTAAACTCGTATATATAGAGAATTGATGCTGAATAATTACAAGTATCAGAAAAGTATCCGTGACCCCATACAAGTTGTGGTGTATAACAAAGTGTGTTTTACCGACAAATTTGAACCAAGTATCCCTGACCCCATACCAGACTCTATTATTACAAAACAGAGTGGAGACAAATCAAAAGCAGCTTTTACACGTGAATGTGAGTCAGCCATTATCCTCTCTTTGTGCCTCCACACCCGTGACCTACAACCACAAAGTGAAAGAGAACGTTAGCAGAGTAGATACTATGATAAGCAAACCAAACCATCAAATTCATCCGTCACACATAAATAAAAGACCTAAACACAATGCATTAACACAAGAAAGCTTAAATTTAAACCATTGTCATACAGAACCGAGTTCTTAAACACACCAAACTTAAACTTAAACACATAAAGAAAAAACCTAAACAGAAAGTACTTGTTACATAAAGTAACTATTACAACAGATCATTGATTAGCTTGTCCTTAAGTTTCATTTCGGTTTCAGTCAATGGCTCGGGTTTAGTAAGTAGCTTTTCAAGCAGCTTCTTGCTTGACAGCTTGTCTTTCAATTCCAAATCATGTTGCTTCATTTCCATATCACTTTGCTTGATTTCCCACACAGTCTGTAGATGCTTAAGAGTTTTATCTGCTTGAACCTCAGCTTTGAGCTTTGATCCACTCTTCTTAGCTGTACCACCAGATTTTGCAGCCTTAACTCCAATCGGACGTGGCTCTGAATCATCCTCAAGCACGACTTCCTCTTGGCTGCTTGCTGACTCATCCATCTTTCTTCGTTTCCCTGATCCCTTTGAGCACCATTTTTGGTCAAAACGCAACTCTCTCCATGCGTGCTCTAGAGTGAACTTTGCTTGGTAGTCGTTAAAGAAAATCTCGGGTGCTGCCTTCAGCACATCATTATCATTTTGCCCACTTCTCTTATCCTTCACGGCGGCTTCAAAACAACCGACAAACTTGCACACCTGATCGTTCAGCCTCCCCCACCTTTGTTTGCACTGACTAGCCGTTCTTGCTTCTGGACCACTGAGTTCAAGGCTAGAGTTGAAGTATTTTTGGATCCTCTTCCAAAAAGCCTCCAACTTCTGCTCATTTCCGACCACAGGGTCTTTGCTAGTGTTCAACCAGGCTGAAATGAGCACAACATCCTCCTTCGCCGTCCATGGCCTTGTTTGCCTTCGATCTTCAACAGGTACACTTGGATCATCTGAGCTTTGGCTACTAAACCGAGGTAGTTCAGATGATCCAAGGTCGATAGTTTGGGGAAAGCTATATGTGATTTCTTGTTGGCTAGTTAGTAAATTTACAAACCCCTGAGAGGTCGTAAATAGATTAGGAGAATCCATTTTGAGGGTTTAGAAAGAAGGTGTTTGAAAAGGTTAAGAATGGCGGAAGTTTTTAGTAAGTTTAAGTTTTGAGAAAAGAAGATGTGTGAAAGTTTTAAGTTGATATGAGACCATTATTTAAGTGTTTGGTTAAAGGGTTTTTTAACAATCAATGAAAAGCATTATCACATTAGCTTTAACTACAAAACCTACCAAGCATTGATAACAAAACCCATTCTGATTTTAAACCCTAAACCTACCAACTCTTTCCAGCTAACAAACATTAAACCCTAAACCCAACCTAACACGCAAAGATTTAAGAAGTTGACTGACCTTGATGCATTGATGAATGGTTGTGGTATTCTTTGATGAAAGGAATCGGCAGTGAAGTACATTCTTTCTGCAAATAACATTTAAACCATGTAAGGCAAACGGTATAACATACTAAAGTAAATGCAAACTAAACTAAATGCAAACTAGGTTCTAGTTAGAATTCAAACCAAACTAACCTGCTTCAAAGCCTCTCAACGCCAACTCCATTCCCATTAAATGCAGACTACCGATCTCTCACCATATCACCTCGCAAAAGAAATCCAAAGGGTTACCAAAACAATAAAGCAAGCATGTAATATTATGATCCACAACATAATAAGCTTAAAAACAATCTTAAACAATCTTATGATCTCACTATGTAATCTTAAACAATCTTATTATCTCAGTCCTGATCCGCAACCATGTAAACAAATGATCATTCAAGAAAACCAAACAATCTTAAATAAAATTCCCAACGTAAATAACATAACATAATCGAATAACATAAGCTTAATCGAACCAGATTTTTGAAGCTTAAACAAGGTAATCAAGCTTAAATACGCTAAACATCTCAATCAATTGATTATCGCAACACAAACCCTAATATTTCCCCAAATTTCGAAAACCCTAAATTTCCCCCAATTTTGAAAACCCTAAATTCAATCATATTCACAACAATCAACAATCTATAGAAACGAAGAGTTACCGATTACATACCTTTTCAAAGCAAAATCGTCGATTCCGAGTCAAACTCCTGATCATTCACAGAAGCGATGAAGACAGATGAGATACCCAGACGAAAACCGAAGAGATAGAGAGGTGAAACATGGTTCATTCGAACCGAGAACCGAAGAGAAAGAGAGTTGAAGACAGAAAAGAGAACCGATGGCAAAATCGGCTCCGATTAACGGTGAACGATTTCCGTCGGAGGAGATGCAAAGAGATGGAGAGTGTGTGTCGAAGAAAATTGAGAGAAGTTGAGAAATTTTGTTAACTGTGAGAATGACGCGACAAAAAACATTTCCAAAAGTTCAACCAATGAGATTGCGCCACCTCACCCGTGAACCTCTCCCAAAACCGAGTCCACAAGCTGCAATTTAAGACCCGACTTTAAGAAAAATGGGCTTTCCTGATTTATTTTAATTCCGAAAAACCCATGAACCCCAATTATAAACCTCCTTAAAACCACCATTACAGATGGTCTTAGGTTGTTGGTTTCGCGGATAGGTCTGGGATCTAGCATGATTGGATCCGAATCTTGCAGCTTATGTCACACTTTTGATGGTCTCACCAAATTTTCTTGCATCTTTTACCTGCTGCGAGACTGTCTCTTGGCGCGTCCCTATCACTCTCAATATACGGGTTAGGTTCAGCAGCTCAGACGCAGTATGGCATTTTCTGAGTCTATGTCTTACTCTGCCTTCCATGAGTGGTCACTGTCACTTGACACGTTTAAGAATTGAGCATTAAATGTTAATCTCGTGGGGTTACAAGGGTACGGGCAATCAAACCAGTCAAACTCTATTCCAATTGTTGAATAGAGGAAAATTTGAATAGTGTTCCCCACTCAAGAGGATATTTATATCTGGCCTAGGTCCCATGATACTAGGACCAGACTGTTGGAATTCTCTCGCTGGCTTTCTTCTCTCTCCGAGTACCTGTGCGGGTTACTCTTTCTTATATCTTGACCCTTCTAAATCACTAACCTTAGGTCTAGGATATAAAGAAGGCAACCTCTCCTCCTCCAGACCACTCAGTTCTTGGCCTCCTTGTATCTAACAGTGTGGCATGTCCTATCAGACACGAGTAACCCGGGAACAAGTGGTCTTTCATGCCAGATCTTCCGAATCCGAAGAATTCGAGACCCAATGTTATATGCTTAGATCGCATTGGGCCATAAGCCCAATACGAAACCTAATTTGGAAAAGAAGGTCGTATCTTTGAGTCATAAACGCCATGTGTAAGCATGTTATTCGTCCACGTAGTAATTGAATTTATCCCCAACAGTATCTATTACTAGAATCTTATATATAAAAGATGGCCAACTCTTTCCATATGAGTGCAACATCATCAGTTTTGATCGATATGAGGATGACATGTGTCACACATTTTCAAAGAAAATTAATTAATGAAATTTTAATATTAAGTTTTAAACCACTCAAATAAAATAAAAAGTTTTTTTATTAATTTAACTCTTAACTAACATTTATGTAAATATTACACAGGAATTTATATAATTAATTAAAAATATTGATGGATTTTTTTATGTATAAACTCTTGATTTTTTATTGATATTATATTTTAAATTGATTGATTTATAATAATATACTAACACATACCAAAAGATATATTTTTTTTGAAAATAAATATATAAATTTGAAATAGTTAATAACAATTTGTTTTAAAAAAATTGTTTCAAATTAGATGTTTTCAACTCTAATTAGTTTTTTATTATTTTTGTTTTTAATTTTTTTACTGTTTAAATTCTGCATAATGGTTTTACATTGGTTGAATTGATTTCAGTTAATAATATTTAAATTTAGAAAAAAACCAAATAATGTTTTAATATATGTGAAAAAACTATTGGAAATAACAAAATAAAAGATCATCTATTTTGAAATGGAGGAAATACTGTTCTATAATAATGAACACTTTGTAACCATGGTCTTTCTATGAAATTTTTATGATTTTTTTTGTTATGCTTTAAATAGGTATATATGTATTACATCTAAGTGTTGTAAAATATATTAAATGTTTGCTTATTTTTTTTTTTTTACTTTATTGTCTGCTTTAGTTCCTAAGATTCTAAATTTCATCCTAAAACGTTTTTTAACCTAAATTGATTCATTCGATAAAAAAAATTAAAATCTTATAAAGATATGGTAAAATGTGTTAAAAATACAATACATCAACTCCTATGGACTTAGTCTTTCGCCTGTTCTCAAGCACACAAAAAACTAAGAAACAAAGAAGAGGTTTGAAAACACGAGAACTGTCGAATCTTCACCAACCATTCCTCGAGTTATGACTTGCAGACCACATCAAACAGAATTTAATCAGAACATGCTCAAAATAGTCCCAGCAAAACCTTCGCAAGCTAGTCCATATTTTGAATCCAAAATCCGTAAAACTCTGAATTTACGTAAATTAACTCTATCTATTCATTTAAAGTTGGCATAAGAAATTACGTCATTTAGGGTAGACGGAGCTAGAAACTTAAAAAGCACAACCTAGTGGTGAGTATAAAGGTGTTTAGAATTACCAGATGCTCTATAGGATGCTAAATATATTGAAACCCTAAGAGAGAATGAACATAAAGAATTTTACACTTCATATCATTTTTCCAGTTTTTAATTACATATATATATATATCACTTTCTGCTACTTTATCAGTTTTCAACTTTTAGTAGTGTAAATGACAATTCTCTCCTTCTTCTATTTCTCATCCAATTCTCATGGGTTTCTCTTATGAGAATTTTACATTCCATCACTTTTCAACTTTTTAATTAAAGATATTATTTTCTGCTACTCTGTCACTTTTTCAATTTTTAGATAATGTAAATGACAAATCTCTCATTCTTCTATTTCTCAACCAATTTCCATGGGTTTCTCTTATTTCTCAACATATAAACACTTTCAGGAGAAGGCACACTTTTTTTGTCCTTTAGTTTGATTCTTTGACTGTTATACCACTCTTCCAAGGTGATTAATTACTCATATCCCATTTTCTTTTTAAAATTTTATTATATCACATATCCCACATATTTTTGTTTTCTTTATATTTTTATAAACAAATTATCTAACAATTATTTTTGCATTTTCAATAATATTTCTTCTTTTCTTTATTTTGATACCCATTTCACAATTTTTTACTTATACATGAACCACTTTTTTTGGATAGAAAATATGCAAATCCATATAGTTGCATATATGTGTACCATATTCACATGAATACACATGTATTCCATGTAATTGGATTCACGTGTACCATATATGCGTGAGTACGTCTACATATCCATGTAATTGCGTCCACTTGTACGCAACTATATGAATACATTTTATCTATTTATGCAAATTATATATAAGTAAACTATTTTGAAATGGGTATTAAAGTATATACATAAAATAGATATAACTGATAGTGTAAACATAATTGTTAAATCATTTTTTTGTAAAAAGAAAAGCAAAATAAAATATGTGAAATATGAGTTTCGGGAGAGCTTTTAGATCTAAGAGAAGAAAAAAAGAAAAAAGAAAGGAAAAAATGTTTTTAATGATGACAAGAGAGAGAGACAAATGAGAAAGAAAGAGACTTTATATTTTTCTTTTGTTTCATCCGTTTACAATTTTAGAAAAATCAATTATTAGTTTACTAAAGTAAAGTAATTGAAGGGTCATTTTATCTTTTACAGAATTTAAAAGTTGAAAAAGTGCTAGGATAGCAAAAAATGATATATTCTGTAATTAAAAGACAAAAAGTAATATGGAGTGTAAACAATTATTTTCTTATTTCTCAATATATAGACACTTTTGGGAGAAGACATACTTTTTGTCTTTTAGTGTGATGGTTTGACTATTATGCCCTCTTCCAAGATGATAATTACTCTTATCCCATATTCTTTTTTTTTGTAGCACATATCTCACATCTTTTTGGTTTTTTTATAAACAAATAATCTAACAATTATTTTTGGACTTTCGGTTATATTTCC